ATTCTGATTAAGGTGACTAAATATGCACGTAAAAAACTGGTCCACAGTTATGAGCAATATGATAATCAAACCAATTGATTATAGCTGTGGTTGGTTCACAAATAGTACTAATTAATGTACTATATACTAGCCGAACCTATCTGTCCATCTTTTTGTTATTGAATGTACATTGGCCTAATAGATTAATGTTAATGTATTAAATTATCAAACTTAAAGAAAATAATTCATAATTTTTTATATAAATATCATTAACGTGGTCTTGGAGTTTGGATGTTGGAGCCTATAAGTACTCCATGTTGCATGGATCCTTGCAAATTTGTAGTCACATGAAAATTCACGCTTTGCAAATCATTGTATCCAATTGCTCGAGATTTATAAGACATACTTATATATATATAGTGAACTAATCGGGACATGGGACAGTGTACCCTTAAGTATATTCAAGATAAATCGAACAACACATTCGTACCAAAATTAATTTTACGAAATGGAAATCAAAGAAGAGTTGTTTTCTTTGACAAGGTGGAATTAAAATTGCACAATAAATAATGTTAAAATTAGCTGGGTATTCAAAGATATGGCAAAAAGCAAAGATCTTTGAGAAAATCAAGATTTAAAGTTTTCAGTTTTCATCTTTCAAACTAAATCCAAGTTTACTCATCTTCCATCTTACTACAAAAATAGTACTACTGTTTTAATTTCACATAACGATAAAGTTGCATCAATATCTCCTCTCTCTTTCATCTAATCCATTAATATAGTATAATGATACAACTTCCAAAACCCTAATAAACAAAGATTATATACACCATTCCATGATTTCATCACTACACAGTATTTATATCACCTTATTTGTAAACCCACATGGCCCAAATTTTTCTCAACACACAATATTCCATTAATATACGCTTCGTAGTTCGTATATACAGATTTTTTTTTCTTAGTTTTGGGGAGTGAGTTGATTCATAATTCTTGGATTTTGGGGGCTCTGGGTTTTCCTAAGAGAAGTCATTATGTCTTTAATGTGTTTGTTGGAAGATGTGTCAGTGACATGAAGAAGCGAACAACAACAATAAGCTTGCAATAAATGTTTTGCCTTCATCTAAATTCATCACAAA